ATTTTCCCACAAATGATATGAGTTGAGCTGACGTTTCCATTGAATTTTTACATAGCCTTGCTTTCCCAAACGTTGCACTGTTGCGGTTCGACTTCCGCTGAGGGTGATGATAAGACCAATTCGAGGTCGAAACTGCAGTCCACCCTGGATGAGAACAAATTTTTGGAAAGCAAAGCTATGTAAAAATTCAATGGAAATGTCATCTCAACTCATATCATTTGTGGGAAAATTCGATTTCTACCAGTCCTTCGTCACCTTAAACGAAATTGGGTGAATACAGCTTATCACATATTTTTTGTCATAGCGCCTCTTCGGTGAGCCTGACAATTGCAACTGAGTGTTGGTCATGGCCTTGCATGTGAAGCTTAAGCCTACTAAAAATAAACTGTTATATGGCTTTCACTACTTCAGGCGGGATGAATGTGAAAATGTTTGCCTATAACTATCGTCTGTTATGAAATAGCAAAAGCCTGGGAGGCAAAAATATTCACAGTATTTACTTTAAATATTTTCTAATCTTGTGAAATACAAGCACTTATTTCAAACTTATTCCTTCACCAAGTATGACAGCTTCAAAAAATGCTCGTTAAGCGGCAACCTATTAGCGAGCATAGGCAAGAGCAAGTGAGATTATCGGATTCATTGGGGCCGCAGGACGGTGCGCCAAGGACTTATTTACACAAATCTACAGTCATGGCTCAAAGGAAATCCTTCTTCGGCTTTCGGTTAGGCGAACTTATGAATCACTTTCACTTGAGTCTTGAAACGAAGTGAAAGGTATGCTTCAGTGATAAATTTAATGTCAATTTGTGAAAGATTTTGTACCAATACAATTAACCATAATGCTGTCCATCCACGATCTCAATATTGCAACGCTAACCTAATTTCAGGCACTATTGAACTAAAGTTGATCAATGAGAATTTTTGATTTTAATGGATATTTTAGCGATTATCATATAGCCTCCCATTCATAATTAAATTATTACGTGCAAATAAACTTCAGAACAGCATGCTTTGATTGACTTTACTTGCAAAACAAAATATGATGATTGAGTGAAAATGCATTTACAGCATCCACAAGACATAAAAATTGCCTTCATTAGACTTGCAGCAGTAAAGCAACTCCTCCCAGAATCCAGCGTGCCGGTTTGTCTCGAGTTCGCATATGGAAGGTCCATACAAAAGTTGGTCCTCTAGTCTTAGTTTTGTATAGAGGACAAGCGTACATCTGAGCGACCCTGCTCTCCTGCCTATCCACAGTGACAGATCTCAACAATATTACAGGTACGAGTGGCGTCAACTCCTTATTCCTTGATTCAGTTATCGAGCCGGCCGACATGTCCCACCTTGCACCTTCGACGTAGAGACCGTGCACATAGGCTCCCTCTCTCGGGGCACATCCCATCTCTTCGCTCCACTTTTTGGTCACCTCTACGCTAATGCACATTTTGTCCAGTGGCCATTCCATTTTGCGCGCCGTCTGTTGCATTACAGCAGTAAGGAAGGATTGCGGATTAAAAAGACCGCCGAGCCAGACAGAACCAGGAAGACTCATATCTTGCGTCCAGGCGTCCAGTTCCTTTACTCGGCTTAAAAGGTCGGAATACCAAAGACCCAGTGGATAGAGGCTAGGATAAGCATAGCGTTCCCAAGAAGTTGGCACCTGAAAAGAAAAATCAGTGCAACTTTATTGGACAAGCGAAAAATGGTGATTTCAGGACATTAGCCCTAAAACGACAAATATGATATTTTTCGAATTAAGTATTGTTTTCGTGACCACCAGTAAATCAGTATATGTGATGTATTCACCCAATTTCGTTTAAGGTGATGAAGGACTGGTAGAAGAAGAATTTTCTCACAAACATATGAGTTGAGCTGACGTTTCCATTCAATTTCACATAGCCTTGCTTTCCCAAAAGTTGTTCTCATGCAGGCACCAGTGGACTGCTGTTTCGACCCCGCGTCGGTCTTATCAACAGCCTCAGCGAGACTCGAACCGCGACAGTGAAGGATGGGAACTTGACACACTAACCACCAATCTACTCTGCCACAGCAGTCCACTGGTGCCTGGATGAGAACAACTTTTGGGAAAGCAAGGCTATGTGAAATTCAATGAAAACGTCAGCTCAACTCATATTATTGTGGGAAAATTATTCTTCTACCAGTCCCTTATCACCTTAAACGAAATTGGGTGAATACATCTGAAAAATATGATAGAAATAATTCCTCAAAGCTAATCAATAACTTAGTGGATTTCTAGGATAGTTGATTACCTGTATCCTTAACGTAATTCTTTTCTCTAACCAAGGCGCAAAGCTTAAATCCTTTATAGTAAAGCCAAGTCCCAGTGATTCTCTTTTACATTTTAGGCTCTGCTCCCTTAAGAGGCTCCCTGACATGCTTCGCTGTCATTTACACTGTGACCTTGGGATTTGGTTAAAGAAGTTAAGCTAAACTTCTAAAATATCCCAAGCAGGCGGCTCAGCCTATTTAGTTAGCCCAGCCATTCTCTTGCCAGCCAATTCGAAACTCTGCTTATAAACATAAATGTTAATAATCCGTCCTTCATCACTCTATGCCAACAAGGGTAACTAAAATTTTTTATCGAAGATATGAAAACCAAAATGGTGTGGCCTCCTGTATGGTCAC